AGTCTGCTATTACGTGGAACCAGTTAAATACTACTTTCTGTATTTAATAAATTTGGTTTGTACTTGTGATGGTGTTGCTGGTGTAGATATGTGGGCCCTATCTCCAAAGAGAAACTGCTGAGCTCCAGTTCATTTGCAAATTTGACACCATCAGATCAGGATTAAACAAAGACTGTGAATGGCTATCCAACTACAGAAACAGTTTCTCCACCCTTGGTGTTCACACCTCAACTGCTAGCAGAGCACCTCACCCTCCCTGATTGAACTAACCTCGTTATCTCCACACTGATATATACCTGCCTCTGGAGATTTCCATTACTTGCATCTGAAGAAGTGAGGTTCTTACCCACGAAAGCTTATGCTCCCAGTACTTCTGTTAGTCTCAAAGGTGCCACAGGACCCTCTGTTGCTTTTTACAGATTCAGACTAACACGGCTACCCCTCTGATACAAGACAAACCAGTTTGTTTACATTTATGGGAGATAATGTTGCCTGCTTTTTATTTACAATGGCACCTGAAAGTGAGAACAGGCATTCGAGTGACACTGTTGTAGCTGGTGTTGCAAGGTATTTACGTACCAGGTATGCTAAACATTCATATGCCCCTTCATGATTCGACCACCATTCCAGAGGACATGCTTCCAAGCTGATGATGGGTTCTGCTCGATAATGATGCAAAGCAGTGTGGATGAGCACACGCTCATTTTCATCTTCTGAGTTAGATGTCACCAACAGAACGTGTGGGTGTTTTTTTTTCTTCTTTGGGTGGGTAACGTACTGTAGTTTCCACATCGGGGTGTTGCTCTTTTAAGATTTTGGAAGGCACTTCAGATTCTTAAACCTTGGATTGAGTGCTGTATCTATCTTTACAAATCTCATATTAGTATCATCTTTGTGTTTTGTCAACTGTGCAGTGAAAGTGTTCTTAAATCGAGCAACACATGCTGGGTCATCATCCCAGACTGCCATAACACGAAATATATGGCAGAATGCGAGTAAAACCACGGAGCAGGAGACAATATTCTCCCCCAAGGAGTTCAGTTACAAATCTGCAGGGCTCAAGTAGTGTTTCTAGCTTTTGACAGTTTCTCAAAATCCTTGTGGTACTGATTGTGCTTTTGAAGAGCTAAGGTGGCTGTGATAGCGACTTTATTGCAAAGCAAGCGCTGAACTATACCCAATGTGGAGTTCCATCTGGTTGAAATATCTTGTAGAGGAGGTTCTTGTTTCTGTCCATTTGCAGCTTGTATTCCTAGCTCTGTACTGTTAGCTGCACTGTGTTTGAAATGGCCCACAAGTTTTCTGTATTTTGTCAACACATTTTCAAAACCACCATCACCGAGCACCACTGTAATGCATCACTGCAGACTGTGAGCGATGCATGTCTTGTATTCAAAAGGCAAATGACCACAGCAGACAATCATATTACGTGCCCTGTCTGTCAGTACTAAGTGTTACCTTTTATTTGAATATTCCATTATTTTGCAATATCCAAAAAACGCTTGGCACATGCTTCAGCATAATGTCTCTCTTCAGTATGTATTACTCATAAAGCAAATGACTGCAGTGTCCATGCAGTAATCAATCAACTCCAAGATAGCTGTGATTGCTCAAGGATGTCCAGTGATCACCAGTCAAAGTAACAGCTAGTTTATTTTTCAGAAACTCCAACTTTATAGTATTCTTGTTGTGATACAGGTCATGTATTCCTCTGGAGGGCAAAGTATATGACTGATTGGAAGATGCAATTTGAATAACATCTCTTAGCCCTCTGTCGTTGAGTGGGCTGGAGTCCATAGCTATCCGCTTTGCTATAGCATTGGTTAAGCTGTTGTACTTTGATCCATGGGCTTGTAGTGATTCTGGAACTCTGTAAGCATACTCTGTTGCGGCTGGCGGGGTTTATTTGCTGTTGGTGGGTTTTCTGTAGCACAAAACCTGGAGATGAAAGCATGTTTAGTGCATAGGTGGTACTGCAGACTTGAAGTACTTCGAAACATTGCAATAGCTACAGATAAGTCTCTCTTTTTTTTTTTAATTCCAGAGAACCATCCGGAAGTATTTTAAAAATTA